GGGAAAGCATAAGTTTGTTCAGGATGTTCAGCTTGTTCACAAATTCCTACAGTCAGTGAAGACAGCAGTTTTGAATAACAACCGTATACTTTCCCTCTTATATACCTCTGGCAGTTGTCTTGCACAGCATGAGACCAATCACTTCAGTTCTCCTCCATGATGGGATCATACAAAGTCCTTTTTCGGAACCCTTTTTTAAAAGTTTGTGTTCCTGTCCTCATCCAAGAGTCTACTAAGTAACATATTTGAGATGGTTTACTGAGTAGAGGATGTCCTAAATAGAGACAATGCATGCACATCAGCCTGTTGGCTGGCCATGTTCCTGGAGATCACCATTCAAGTATTTTGTTTAAAACACACCAATTAATGTAATCTACACTAATAAAAGCCAAGATTTATTTACTATTTACCTAAAAACGGACAGTATCTAGCCAAGAGTGTGTTAATAACCAATTCCCAAAAAACCTCAATAGAACAAAATATGGAACTGGCTGAGGCAACAACTAGTATTAAAACAATCAGACCACTTACCACAAAAAGTGTTATTAAACACGGAAATAAACACCATTAGCTACATGTTACTGCTTCTAGAATTCTCCCAAACTCTAATATGAACAACTTCATCAACATCTCGTATGCCGAAAAAAGCAGATGGTTAAATGCCTGACAAAATTTGCTATTAAAAAAAACAATCAAATGAACACCACAAGGCTAATTTCAAACTCCACAGTTGGGTTTGCGGCAAGAGGGTGCAGTGGCAAGTTTTTGATCAGGAGAAAAGTTATGGTTAGATGTATCTGTGATATCTTTGCTCACAATGTATCAATAGACAAAGAAACAAAACTATTAGAAGCAAGCAAGCTGTTTTCTGATCATGGGTGCCAGACAGGTTTTCTGGTAGGGTATGATTTTGTTTCTGACAATATTTAACACACAAAGCTGTAGGAAGAAACTGAGTTGTGAAACAGCCTGTTAAAAGCCTGTAATGAAGTCAAAAGGAAGGTAGGTAGGAAAATTCCACTACGGTACAGGGAGCCCTGAGTAGAAGGGCCAGGGGAGTCCTTCCTATGAAACCACTAGTTTAGAAAGGGTCAAACAGTTTTAATAATCGGAGGCATTAGGGAATACAAACATGGACCAATACATTTTATTACTCATCACTGAGGAAGACACACCTATGCAAAGAATGTTTCTGCACCTTACTCCTAGGAGTTTTCTTCAGCTTTGTCCAGAAACCAAACTCTACCAGGAAATACAAACCTGCATGAGATTTTACAAAATAGTTAATAGACAAAATATGAAGAATTCTGGCAGGCATAAACCAGGGAAACTTTGACTTACACCAGGGTATGTCTTTTGGGGCATGAGAAAAGAGAAAAACAGAAAAGGCTTAGAAAATAATTTCATCACGCTAATATTAATAAAAATATAACTAACTGCCAAACATCCTGGGTAGGGTGGGACACAGATGACATTGTGAGCCTGAAGAGTGACATAGGCATGTGGCATGGAAAGTTGAGTATTTAAGCTGCCACATCAAACTTTAAACAGTAACAAGGGACTGCAAACACCATCTCCTCCCTTTGCCTTCACTGTCACTAACCCCTTACTCTTCATGGTGAGGTGTTTCTCACAACAAGGAGGAAACAGCAAAATCGCAGGGGATGCAAGGAAACGAGTGAATTTGTGGCTGCGGGGTTTACAGATGTTTGGAGTGGTGACTGCAAGGATGGTAAGATCTGAAGCTGAAAGCGCCACCTCCATAATTACTTTGTAACACTAGCAATAATGGTTGCTGTCTTCCCTGCTTCATGCAGCAAAGGAAGCCAAACAAAGGAAGTGGAGTGGCAGCCTTCCAGCACCAGCAACCGCAGTCCACAGTCCTCCCTGGCTGCTGAAACGACACCAGAGCTTCCACAGAGACATCTTTAAATGCCTGTGGGCTCCTTCAGAAATGTTGTGATTTGATATGTTTTGTAAATTTAGATCTGTGTCAGACAAGCCAGGAGAAGGGTTACTTAAGAAGGGGATGACACATAACACTTCCAACAAAACTTCCCTAAAACCCCCAATTGCATCCATCAACTCCATTAAAAAAAAAAAAAAAAGGGCAAACCTCCCTTTCCTCTCAAACACACACAGTTTCCATACAAAGCCAAATTTAGCTTTCGAAGACCTGAAGATTAAGATCCTTTCCCCTCTCAGACCTCAGCCTTTCAAGCATACTGGATAACATTTCTTAAACAATGAAGCACAAAATGTCTTAAACCCTGTTTTCAAAAGGGCTGCAGCACACAGGAATGCGTGATTCATTGACTTGCAATGAAACTTAGGCTTATGAAGTTACTTCTGAAGGTAAGATGAGAAACTTCGGAATATGGTGACAGCTTTAAAATTCTTATTCTGAGTTAGACCAAAACACCATGAAAATATTGTCTGGATAAGATGTGACATAATGAAGGAAAAACACTATGCTAATAAAGGAATACATGAAGTGATACACAAAAACAAGTTAACATCATCACATCATGGTATACTTCCCTTCCTTTTGTATGACGAGTAACTGGAACACTAACTTGCCACAGCCCTTTCTCCTCTGAAATAGTAAAATCATAAGAAAAAGTTGTTGACATGGCACTGAACAAAAACTCAGTGCAGACCCTGAACCTGTAGTCACATGCAGCCTTCTGTAATGTTCAGGAAGCAAGCAGTTCCATTTAGTTATGAAATTATGTGTTCTTTACATCTATAAGTGGTAATAGAACAGCCTATAGGACTATAAGCAACAACAGCATTTACATGACATTTAGCACTATAAAAACTTGCAAAAAAACAGTAAAATAACTTACTAAGAAAAGCTCATCATATTCAGCAGATTCAGTGTAGAGGTACAACACTTCAACCAAAAGTACCTTTTTACTACCCTACCAAAGTATATTTGGCCAAACTTGAAAAGTACATTAGACATAACATTGTGCACAATTGCTCAACAAGTCC